AGAGAGAGAGAGAGGGAAGAAAAAAAGAAGGAAAACGAGAGAATTACGCCGGGTGGAAACGCTGCTGGGGTTAAACCATGCATACATAAATGAGCCCACTTTGCCGGGATTATTCCCCGTTTTTAATTCCTTTTCTCGTTTACATCAATACACACTCTGAGCACCAGCAACGAGTCGTTCTTCGCGAACGAGTACGCGTTCGTTTAGCCACCAGAACGCGATAATAAACTGCAACAAACGTGAATAAGCCTTGAAGGAAAAGCCCCGGCGAGTTCTAAACGAGAACGTCGAACGAAAGGTGATGGTGAAGGGGCGGGGGGAGGAAGGGAAGGGGTGAAAAATGCGTTCGACACGAAGGTTTATGTGTCACTGGCGAAAAGGGCCAATTAACTTCCGTTCTAATTACACACAGGGGCCAATTAAGTTTATTCATTTATTTACTTAAACACTTTGATTTTATTTCAATGTTGCCAGATTGCGAGCTTGCAAAGCCAAAAGCGATGCACCACCGTTTCAAAGTCGACGCTTGTTCAATATCGACACAATGTTCTGACGAAATTTAGAAAAAATTAGAAATGGAAAAATTCGGGGTGATTTTATTCTTTGTTGGACTCTGTATACATGAGGATGTCGTTCCTTTCTGAGATGTAAAGTTGATGAAAAGGAATAGAAAATTCTTCTATTCTATCGGTACTTGTCTAATGATTGATTTTACTTTATTAAACGCGACAGTAGTTTACATTTGTACAACTAATTTATTTAGACACAATTCTAATGAAATTCAGTTAATGAGAAATTCATTTGATTCATTTGATTCATTCTTTAGATATATTCGTTTACTTTAAAATTCATCACCTAATTCAGCCAAGTCAAACTCAAGGAAATATCTACGAAGCTCATTCAATAATTATCAGTTTAAATTCATTCGGTTGATTAATTTAAAGTTATATCTGTTTTCGCGTTCTCAATTTCATATTTGAACATTTCGCGGCGAAAAAGCGAAGGCGCCTGAATATCCTCGCCTGCCTCCTTGCGACCCTTTTGTATTCCCTTCTCGTTGTTTTGCTCCAGAAACGTTTATTCCCCGTGCATCGACCGCTCGTGCATGACATATAGCGACACTTTTCCGTTTCCACAAACAGGTCGGAGACGATTGTTCCTCCTCAGGACGAAGTGCCTATTCACCGCAGATGCGTCTGTTACCTTTTTTACAGGGACAGAGCGTCGCCGTGTCGATGTTCTTCTTTTTTCCACCACCGACTACCATCGTTCAGCCAACTGTTTCGCCATTTCCGTTCTATCTACACTCTGGCTGTCTGTTGTACCTTCACACTCCTCGTAGCCATCTACCGTTCCCTGTGAACTTTCTTTCATAGATCCTGCCACGTTTCCCCTTGAAATTAATAATTTTATTACCGAGAGAAATCGACGAGATTTTTCTGCTTGTAATGGACGACGATTGAAGACTGGCAGAGTCCTTGAAACGAACGGCACGGTCCACTGAAGAGATTCGCCATTT